CATTCCCATAAAAAATGAATAAAATCCCATAAAAACTCTGTATAATTTGATCCATCGTTCCCGCCATATAGCTGGATAAATAACAATTGCTGCTAATTTCAAGTTGCTATTATTGAGAGAAATTCCCCATGTCGGCTGCAATTGAGTAAAGGGAGCTGCCTTAGTAAAATGTTTCTCGTTAGTGGGATATAATGTGTTAAAGCTCAAACAGGTTTTGAAATATCAATATAAAAACTTGGATTCAGGGGTTTTTCCAGATGGTGAATACGATCACATTCTAAATTTTCACATAATATTAAATAATAATAATAATAATATAATAAAGTTTATTCACCTTTGGAACTTAGAGAAACCGAAATTCAAATATAAAGTGTAACAGTTTATAAACAAATGATCACAGAAGTAGTTTAATTCACTTTGTTTGTGATATAACTAACTCTACTATAGTTATATAATTAAAAATTTATTGTCCCAGTCATTAATTTCGCTTTATTACCAAATTTATTTTGTAGTTAACTACTATTGTAATTACAATTTGTAAATATCTAATCATAAGTTAGGCCTCCCATATGCTAGATCAGTGTGTAATTAGATATTTTACAGACGGGAGTAGAAAAAACATTTTTGAGGACGATATTGTAATGTCTGCTTCTTGCATCAATGTTTTTCTTTTCCCTATTAATCGTTTTTCACTCTTCAGAAAGAATATTATATATTCTTGGAGTTAATAATATAATGTTCCCTGAGCCAGACATAATACATTTATTTCTATAAAACACGTTTTCGAAATATTAGCATTTTAACACTCACCCATACCTATTGCATATTTACATATATACTGCATTAAAAGAACCCATGCAGATGCAGTTCAAAAGTGTTAGAGATCGTTAATGGTCTGCAAGATGGCGAGCATTTGTCACTGTCTTTAAATGATCAACTATTGGCTGGTCTCAATCTACACTATTGTTTTCTGAATCGTATTTTAACAGTCGAACACAATACGTTAGTATAAACGCGAATGATTAAATCTAAAACATAGAGTTCTTCGGAGGGTCCGTCCTAGGGCCACTTTTCTTCATAATTTAAATAAACTATTTCATCTCACGCATTACTCCCATCAGATGTTCACTTTTCGCTGACGATAAGACAATAATCTGCAGATTAGATGAACTGACTGACTAATGCATCTCTTACTAAGGGTGATAGCGTGACTCTCCTTGGTGTCACTTTGGACGATAATCTTAATTGGAGTGCTTACATGTTTTATGTAACAAATTAGCATCTATGCTATTCGTGCTTAAAAGGTTGAAAAACACACAGTACGGAGGTCCTAAAAACGTCTATTTTGCATTGTTCTATTGTTGTCTAAAAAAGATTATGCAGTTACACTATGGCGAAATTCTAACCACGCAATGAGGGTTTTTAGACTCCAAAAAAAGGCAAGAAGACAATAGTATATTATGCAACAAGTGCGGTAAACGGCATTTGACTCACCGAGTTTATTTGACACGAGCGGAGCGCAGCGAAGCGAGTTTTTAATAAAAGAGTGAGTTAAAAAGTTTACCGAACGTGTTGCATACTATACTTTTTCTACGACCGTTAGTTTTTGGGTACATTTTTGCAAAACAATACGAATACATTGACTGACATGACTGTCAGATTTGACAAACGTCAAAATTCAAAGCGTGGGAAATATCTCCGAAAGCACTCGATTGCTCCCAAATCCCTGCGGCAAAATCCCGGAAATAGCTCGGATCCGGGGAAACGAAGTAGCTCGAATCTGTGAGAAACGAAACTGACATAGTAAAGTGACTCTTCTCGTACGCTAGATCGGTGTATAATTAGGTATTTTACAGACGGGAGTAGAAAAACTCGTTTATTAAGCACTCACTCACAAATATACAGGGTGTTCGATTTAAAAAAAATTGAGAGAAGCTACATAACACCGCGCATCTGATAAAAATATTTTAATTTTGAAAATTGTCTGAGAAAAAGTATTATTTTCTAAAATATGTTACGCAGAAAAATGTTTTAAAAGTTAATATGCGACATAACAAAAACTTTCCCAAACTAGCCTGAATCCCGATGGATTCGTCTTTTCAAGGGGTATTTAAAAATGTAGTAAAAAAAGATAACTCTATTTGGCCACCCTATATGTATTTGAGTGACAATTGAAATAATATAAAAAATTAAAGATCATTATATTGGAAACAACTTCATAGATTTAGAGATAAGGCCACCCTGTACAGTTAACCAAAACACACCCAGGGTTGTTGTAGCGCTGAATGATGAAATGGATAATAACTTTTTTCCTAAAATTAATAATAAGTAATTCCCCATATTGTTACAACTTCCACAACAAATTACAATAAATCGATTGAAATTTCTCACACATGCGCAGAGTAAAGATACATCCTTTTCATTTAGGTAAGGCCTCTATTTTATTAGAGCGTTGTAAACAGTGAAAATTTGAAAAGTCTAATAAAACTGTTTTTCTTTAACTGTTATTCGTTCGGCAATAAGTTCCGTACACCGATTTACCCTGTTGCGTTTTAATTCGCAATAACCATTAAAAACATCTCTGGCGGGCGACATGCGTGTCGTCCCCATTTTGTTTGCCGGCACCTGAATCGCTCGCCATGAACGCCGTATGGCACCGGCGATGAATGCTAATCAAAACGCGCTCTCGATACTTGCACTTGCCCACTAAGACTAGACCGGCGTTGTTTTTTAATAACAATAAAGTGGCAGCTTCTTCGACGTTTTAATTTAAAATTAACCAACCGGCTATATCGCGGAACGTTCCTGATTAATTTGTCGTAATTTACGTAATATCGCGATTCGTAAGCTCCGATGAAAGCTAGGCGTCCGGCATTCATTAAAATTAATAAACGGCAAAAAGGCCATGAACGCCGCCGTATTATAATGACCGGCTGAAAATCCCGAAAGCGATAGACTCGACGTTATGCATGCAAATAACTAATAAAAAAAAACTATAGCGCCTGTGAGCTTTGCGGTCGTGGTCGTTTACTACGTCGAAAATGATAATATCCGGAAGCATCAAGTAACACGACTAAGGAAAATGTCCCCTCGTCGATATCTAGCCAAAGACGAGAGAATAAACAGCACGTTTCATAATGAGATTTGAAGAAAATATTTTTAAAAGTGATTTTTTCAAAGACTTATCGAAAATGCTTTAGATATTCCTGAGTTCAACCTTTCCCTCGATTTGAAAATGTAGGAAATCATATTGTTGGTGTGTCATGGTTTGTGAATATAGCCTTCCAAAGATTCTGCGGTGGAGCCACATCTCGAAAGCCTCTAATTTGTTAATTGCAGCCGTTTTCAATCCATACCGTATGGAAGCACCGCCAAAAAGTCTTAAGCGAAAGTCAAAATAGGAGCAAGAAAGCACACTTTGGAAACCTGTTCAAAGCTACATTTTATTTCATTATCCGATATTTGATCTTCAAAAAGTCATACAAGTGTCCAAGTACTTGAATTCATCAAATCTTTCTATGCGCATCTACTACAAACATTCTTTTTTTGTAAAAATTGTTTTTCTAGTTTCGCCAGTAGCTTAGCAGTACGCACAATAGTTTTATCGAAAAAAATCTTTTTTTTTTAATAAATTAAATTGTAATCCCGATTCATTTCTAAAATGCATGTGCATATCGCTAAACGCTTATGATTTTAAGAAGAGGCCAGTGCGATAGTTTAAAATCAAATGGAAGGTTTTGGCAGAGTGAAACATTATTGAAAAAAGATCGTTGTTTTCAAGTTCATGCAGCGCATTTGAGATGTACTTCAATATTCTTGGATCAATATATTTTATGCTTCCTGGTCCCTTTTTTAAATTATAATCATACTTTTCATATTTTTTTTAATACTTGTTTTGTTAAATAAAAATATTGAATATCATGCTTAAGCTGACATCACCTGCGAAAGCATGAAAATAAATTTCACTTGAAGAAATTGCTTCTATTGCAAAAAATTTACAAAATATCTATAGCAGTTTCAATGAAACACAGAAAACCCCGTTTTTTTTTAATATTTTCAACACAATGTGTAACAAATATGAAGCGATTACAATTTGTATATAAGATTAGCCCCGTGGGAACCCGAAGAATAAATTGGACTTAAGACTCCTAGGACAAGCAGTCAGACAATTCAGACCAGAGAAAGTTACAGTCAGTAGCTGTTAATACTCGTGTGAATGTGATATCCTTAAATATCCGAATATCTACTGGCTCTAGAAACTCAAATCTAAATGTATATAAATAGCCGTAAAAATATTTTTTGCTAAAACGATGGGGATAAATTGCAATGTTCGTAAAATGGCCCAGAAACATGTCGAGTCTCTAGATATTATGTTCAATATCTTGAACTGCAAGAAGCTTTCTCTCAAATGTCTGGCCCTAGCTATACATTCAAAACAGCGATTATTACAGTAAAAAATTACTCTAAAAGTAGCAACAGAAATTTTAATTACAGAAAATATTTTGCCTAGTTGTTTATCAATAAAACAGAACTGCAGTATCACATAATTATCCTTTTTTATTTCGACGCATTTTCCTTTCTTTTATGGCTTATTTAGTTAGTTTTAGAGAGAAAGAAAATATCAATAGTTGTAAAAACTCAAACACCGGAAGTAATTACAAACATTATTCGTCTATGGTGCAATTCATGAAGCAATCAATCACAAAAAACTGAGAATTTACAAAGCGTGTTTGGCTTGGTTTGCAAGTATTGGCGTCAACGCATTCGGATTCAGGGGTGTTTGTTAAATGTTAGTCTGCATTTGTATTGTACTTCTTTAATTTAATTGATACAAGCCGTACGTGAATTAATACATAAGTTCTTCTCTTATTATTTAAACTAATTACCAGTAAATTTGCTTTTTCATGCTGATGGCCTAAAAACTTTCAGACATAAATTACTTTATTGTCCGAATATTTCTATGTATATCTTTTACTAAAAAAAAACGCCTATTCGCTTCAACTACTTTATTAATAACAGTACTCTGAAAAAATCACAGAAGTGAGAGATCTTGGAGCCATCTTGGACGCGAAGCTAATATTACAACCTCACATCAACACCGTCATGTCATTTAGTTTTCAAATATTAGGGTTTATGAATCGACGAGTAAAGGTTTTCAACAGCTGCCGCGATTATCTCAGCCTGTATTATGAGTATGTACACAGCAGCAAATTCTGCTGCTATTATTTGGAGCCCTAGGTAATACAATAACAATCATACAAGTGACCATTTCCAGAGATTTTTTTTAAACTTAATAACCCAAGATGTAAATAACCTAAGAATGCGTTACTAATCTTGAATGGCCGAGCCGTTCTTAAATATTTAAGAAAATACCATTTAATGTAGCACCTCAACACTTTGGAACTGAGCCCTTATTTATTATTCGCTTCAGCAATACCAATAATTATTAAAATCCTCTCCTGGTTTTAATGCTGAGAGGTGCAAACTTTGTTGCTCAGACCTGGATTTGTTTGTTACATAATCATGCGAGATAGCGAACAAATAAAAATTGCAATCGCCTTTATAACTTTTCTGGCTTCCGTTTTACTTTATCTCTTTTAATACTGACTTTTCCCTCGTCATCTCTATCGCTTTGGCTTGGGTTTTGCGTATCCTTGGTTTAATGCACTTTTTAAGTTTAAACTATATGTTTGATGCATTTATGTATGTTTTCTATTATTGGTTACGTTTTGTTATTATATTATATTATGGCATTTGTATTGCATTAGAGTAATGAATATTTTGTTCATTCTTGATAGAAAATTGTTGTGTCCCAAAGAGCAAATAAATAAATAAGTTTTTGTTAAAATTGCGTGGATAGTTTTTGTGGCAATTCTTTATATTAGTCGGAGAAACCAATGCTGAGGAAATAGGATGAGATCTTTTTATGACTGTTTTTGAGATAACACTGTACCAAATGCTTTGGGTGAAATTTCAGTTATTAAAAAACGTTTGTGAGCGATCACTGCACGTAACAGGCGTACTAGCAAATTTACCCTATTTCGCAACAAAACTTAAATTAAAAGATCTTAATCTACTCCAAGCAAGCGTTGTTACACCGTGTATACGTGCTTGACGACGACGAAGTATTATATACAAGAGCGGTCGCAAAAAATAAGCTGCCTCATAAAACGACTGAGTCCCGCCCAATTTTCCGTCTGTCGGCCAATCGACTTCGTCTTTCAAGATACGGATTATCAACTGAACCCGGACGACCGTTATTATAGGTTAAGATGCGTGCGTGTATATGTGTATACCCGAGTATATAAATATGCATGGATCCAAAACCATATGCCGGGACACATAATGCGGTTGTTCTTGCTTCAGCGGACGGATACATAATGCGCTTACCTACACATGTGTGCAGAGAGAGAATAAACGCGTTTGGTGGACGTGCGTTGCTTATATTTGGTATCGATTTTTTCTGAAGAAATCGTGCATTGAAAATGATATTTCATAAATGCGTGTAAGATAGGGTAACCATAATAATAAAATATATTAAATTGAATAATTATTAACTATTTTGGTCAAAATGACAGGCGATCAGTCCATCAGCGAGGTGACACGGTTCGCATCTGAAATTTAAAAGAAAATAACCTGAGTATCAAAGATTATTAAAAATAATAAAACAATCTTAATATCACCGGAAAACACAGATACATCTTGTTATGGCATAAAATTTGAAACTGAGTTTAGGTTGGTACTAAAAGCAGAACACACATAGTACCTATTTCAATCACTAGTGCTGATTATTTCGATCGTGCAATTGATACTACGGGCAGAGACACACGATGTATCCTGTCGCAAATAACCACACTCGCACTAAAGGGCAGCAACACGCAATAAACAACAGGTTATAATATGCTGAAGGGCAGAGACACGCATCAGTATATTGGTACATACATAGTACCTATTTCAATCAATAGTGCTGAATATTCCGATCGTGCAATGGATCCTAAGGGTAGAGACACACGAAGTATGCTGTCGCAAATAACCACACTGGTCCATAATATTTTGAAGTGCAGAGACACGCAACAGTAGCCCCGACTTTCATCAACAAAGTAACTACGTTTAAAATAAAAATAAATAAGAACTATAAAGTCCAGATTTTCACGAAATTATATATTTTCACATTACAATTGTTTCGACAACATCGTGTCTTTATCAAACATTTGATAAAGACACGTTGTTGTCGAAATAATTGTCATGTCAAAATATATAATTTCGTGAAAATCTGAACTTTTAGTTCTTATTTATTTTGATAAATGGATTTTTATCAAGTAAAAGTCACCTCAGTTCAACGTTTAAAATAGTTCAAAGAGAGAACACAATTAACTAAATTCCTTGGGTATATTTGATAAATTAAAAATGAAACCTATCAATAAATCATTTGGTAATTTGGTATTTTAGCCAATAAAACGAAATCATCATGAGAACACTCACCTTCAAGTCTTCGCAATTTCACGTAATGCAAACAATAGCCCGCAACAGTCGAATGCACGGTTAGCCGAGAAATGACAAAAGATATTTATTAAAATGTTATTGCACCCCATTTTGACAGAGCGAGGGGCGAGAAATGCGGTTTTAAGAAAACATCTGGCTCTCAAGTGGTTGCTTATTGCGTTGTACATACAAAAATTTTATAGGGTAGCCTAAAAAAAAATATGCGTCTAACATTTAGCCATCCTGCAACTATCTCACCTCGAGATACAAAATTAAAGGTTGGAAATAGTCCCCTCTTCTAAGTCTGCTAGTAGAGAAACTCCATCTTCGCCATTTTCGCTGTCTGTACTATCAGACATAACTCCGGGAAAGCACCAACGTCGCATTCGATCCACAGACATCGTCCTCTCGTAAGACGACCGGAGAACCCTTCATGTTTCTTACTACGTAAATTGCCTTGTTCTACTGCTTTCTGTAAAATACGCAATACTGATCCAACTTGCAGAAAGTGTCCCTTCCAGACAACAATCAGAATTTTAGTCACGGATTTAAGAGCGATCTAATGCTTTCGGAGGAATTAGCTACGTTTGTCAATTCTGACGGTCACTTGGTAAACGTAACCGTGCTGGTTTGCCCATATGTGCCCAAAAATATAACACAGAAAAATTTATTGTTGTATTGTATTATTGTTACCTCCGACGGGTTGAAATTAAAATCAAATAAATTAGTAAAGATAAGTAAATTTAAATTTATAATTTACAGTTTCATACTGAAATTTTTAAGTACATGTATAAAATTCAAAAAACTTAAAATCCAAAACCCAAAAATGAGTAGTCAAAGAAAACATTATACTTGTAGGCCGATTGAAAATTCAGCAAGCTGCCGCTAAAGTTGCAGCCAGTTCTTTGCAGTGAAAATATGACCGAGTTTATCAAAATTTCGTAATTTGGAGAAAAGCAAAGTCCTGCTTGCATATTTCAAAAAACTTTCATAGTCGCTATATGTGGCCCCGTCGACAAAACGTAAGGTTATCTGAAATTTTATCCGAAAATTTAAATTACACAAATGTCTTCAAACTGGCTTTTTAATTAAGTGCCGGACATGAAAACAAAGACGGGACAGCAGTTTTTAATTACCGCAACATTGTCGATTGGCAGAACATTTTGATAATGAGCTATAGATTTCTCTTAAGCTATCTAAGTTGATAATGCTCTAAGCATGGTATCAACAAATTTAGTTAGTTTGGGAATGTGGCCAAAAAAGTTTAGTTGACTCTGGGGCTGACATTACAATACTAAAACACAGTGTAGGTGGCTATTTTTCAATAAATGTTAATTAGGGACAACCATAATAAACATGTGACAAAGAAAAAAGGCATTTTTACTTTATCATTTCACTAAAAATTAAAATATATAAGCTAATTTAATTTAATTATAATAAAAACTTCAAAGTAAATTTTTAATCTGGACTAGCAAATGGGAATATTTCTTGTCTCAAAGTGTTCTCTTTCATACTTTTATTTTCAGTGGTGCTATCTTGCTCAATATGGCTGTTCCAAACGTTTTAAGGGCTTTAAAATGCAATAATATGGAGGCTTACCTACCGTCATCCAAAATTTGAGTGAATGGAATCGCCATGCAAGTCACCTGTTAATGCTATTTTTAGATAGCCGCTTTTATCAGTCAAAGTATGCAAACATCATAGGATAGATAATTGCGAGCCACAAACAGGTTACCTCTGCCTGGAGATTATACAAAATTAAGCAGCCAAGTAATTGCAGGTGATAAAAAGCAATGGTCAATTTTGGATAATTGTGCAGATAACCAATTTGTTATCTCAGCCCTCTAAAGCAAATACCTTACGGCATTCATGACGAGTCTCTAATATCCACAAATATAGTGTCTCGTTAACATGAAACCATACTTGCCAGATTAGACAAGAGGCAAAACAATTACAATGGCAGCGTTGTTAACTAAATAAATTTAATTTTTCTCTCTCTCCAATTTTGCAAAAACAATATCATTCTCTAGTAAGTTTTATTTTGTTACGATCTATTTCGAACTGCGTATATACGTAAAATTTTATTATACATTTATTAAAACTTAGAACCTTATAGAGTCATTTATTTTTAGCGTTAACTCTAAGGAAATCTCAAACATGTCTTTTCGAAGGCTCATAGCATTTTTCTCAAGTCAAATAAGGAATTGCGTTCTTGTTTTAAGTAAATTGTTTGTTTGTTGAATCTTGGTTTGGTTTTGAACACCTAGCGGTGTTGTAAATGGACAAATAGTCGATGTCTGTTCATAGATATAAGAAAGTGACTAAGTGATACGAATTAAGGAAAGACCCGGACAAGCTGTAAGAATGAAATATGGCCAAACAGATCCGTACTTTGCTTAGAATTTAATTATTTGTGGTTTTGTTAGGAAAGATACTAAACAATATTTATTTATTTATGTATGTGTTTATGTTTATCACCTACCTAAATTATTCACATAATATATCAATATCACTATCGCAATCATCGCCTGTTCTAATTATTATTTGCACAACTTTGTGGAGGGATGTGAAAAACTTCGGTTTCTATAAGTTTGAGGACATTGGAGTTAACACAGCAAAAAACATTGTTACGATGAATGGCAGATTTCAGTTGGTGCCAAACATTTTCAATGGGATTAAATATATAGTGGTAAGGTGGAAGCCTTAAAACTGTATGCCCTAGATTTTTTGCACAATAATCACAATACGTATTCCTTTTGTAGGTTCAAGCTTTGTAGAACCTCAATTAATTGCTTTTTGGTATAATCTTCTGAAAATAAATGTTATTATCATGTAGTTTTGGATTGTTGCTTTTGTGTCACATGAGGAAGGGGTTTTAGTCAACTGTCTACTGTGATAACTTGCATTGTCCATTACAATGACGCTACGCTGACGGAACTAGTTTGTTTTTAAACCAACTTTGAAGTAAATCAGCGGTGGTGTCTTCATGGTAATCCAGAGAAGAATCTTTAATACTTTTCGCACACAGAGAAAGTCCATTTGGAATCCAACCATCTTTAGAGCCAGCATGCAAAATAGTTATTTTCCGGGATATCATAAGTGTCCAACCAGGTTTCATCCAAGTAAATACTTGGACTTTGTTGTTCTCTGTAAATCCTAATTTTTTCTAGATATTCCAGTCGCCATTTCCGAATTCTAAAAGATTTCATTAAAACTTGCCATTTGTCAATTTTTTTAAATTTAAAACCCATGTGTTGAATACACTTCCATGAGGTAGTTCTGTCACATTTAACACCGGTTTCATCTTTTTCAAGCCTCCTAATTAAGATATCTAATGTAGGCACGCTTTGTTCCTCGTATAACTGGTAAATTTTACGCCGTATTATATCTTGATCACTATCATCTACACTCGAGAAAATGTCGGCATCGATTCTTTTTTTTCCTCGCTGAAATGGGATTATTCACAATTTTCCATACAGTTGATGTTTGAATTTTCGTCAATGTGGCCGTTTCTTCTAAAGATGCTTGCTTGCTGGCACCACGTTCAATGAGAGTGAAATAAACAATGTTTATAACTTCCTTAGTCTCAATAGTATAGTGTTTTCTACATTTGGGCGGGAGCATCTCCTGAGATACGCTGGACTCTCACATATTTTGCATAATTCGCACACGATTCAACACACGGTGTATTACACACGAAATAAGAATGATTACTAATAAACTTAAACTAAGTATATACCAAATCAAAGAATATTAAACACAGGTATAAAATTATTTTCTATTACAGACCACAATTTTACCTGAATTTAAATTCCGAAACTTTAGGTTGCATTGTATGTTAATGACCAACCATCCTTGAATAATCCCATTCAAAAGCAATTGGTCACTTTCTTATATCTATGAACAGACTTTACCTTATCAAGCATAAATTTATAAAAATATTTTAAATAGGATCACCGCCACGTTAATACCAGCCAGAATTATTGCTGCTCGGCGACAATAATTAAATATATATTAACAATAACCTTTTAATCTGCAGTCGGAGCTTTCTCAGGCGCGACGACATTGTTCGCTTTGACGTTGTTTTTTATGTTCAAAGGTGACATTTACCGCGTCCCGCAGGAACCAAACACCGCCGCACGGTGCCAACGCATCATGCAAAGGCCAGCGAAAAACACGCTCGCTTAATGATCCTGTTCCGGTGACAGTGATGCAACGACGTAATCGGTCCGAATTAAAAAATATTTATCCTGCGAGAGTTTTTACAACTTCACGGTGCGTGTGTAAAGACAATAATAATAGACGCGAAAAATTACGTAAATGTTATAACGTGACGATACACCTACGTCGACGTCTCGCAGGAATCATTTCGAATTTTATAGAAAATTTAGTGGACAGATTTTCAAGTGATTTGAATTTTTTTACATACATATTATGTCCTCAGTTATCACAACTCTGTTACAAAAGCACCACCGATATGATTTTTAAAAAGAGCCAAGAAACTCATTCCCGCACCTTAAAAATATTCTTCTGGCCGTAAAACGATTAGATGAGAAATATTGATTTTACTCAGTACGGATTTTGGAATAAAAAGTCAACCTCTTTGAATTTGTAGCTCAGAACTTTGAGCAGACTTGACACGACTGCCTCCTTCCCATAATTTCAGTCAAAGTACCTCTTGCAGGATCCCTAATGGTAGACAGAGAACAATATATTTCATATTATTTATTGATTATAAAGAAATACAATTATTCCATATAACAAGGAGGCCTAAAAGTTAATACGTCCAAAAAACCTAGAGTTAATTCCAACATAAACACTGATCTGTGAAACCTGATGAATATCGTAGGATCAAGAACAGTGTCCCTCGGGGATCGCTGCTGTTTGTTGATCCTATGTAAAACTTTGTGGTCATAGTTCAAAAATTATTCATCATGGAACTTTTATCTAACTAGCAAATTGTCGCTTGGCCTTAAATTCATTATAAATATAAATTGCTACCATAAGGGATTTGTAAGGCTATCCTGGTAAATGTTTATCGGTGGACGGTAAATGATCAATGGTAATATGATAATATTATTTCCCCAGTATGCTCTGCGATTTTTTTTTAAATATTGCCCAACTTGTTAGTTTTTTTAGTCGCTAAGTAATATTTATTGACAAAACAATATTTGATTACTTTGTTGTAGAATGCTTTATCAAATTATCAATGATTCTATATCGGTTGATAATAGTTTTGGCTTGCCCTTCAACTTTATGCGTTTTTTTTTCACCATTAGCTGCGCGATTACGTTAATTTCTTTCCAACCTTTTTGTCCTTTATGTTAACTTTCTTTCTGCTTGGTATCTGTTAGACTTGTTTTTGTGGTTCAATTATCATAACTGCTGCTGAAGAAAAGCGAAGATAAAGCGATTTTTTCACACCAGCCCTTTTGAAAGTACTTGAAAGTACTTGATAACGCGGATTCTTTAAAGGGCGTAAGGGTTTTTATTATGGATTGAACATGTGTTTGTCCAATTAACAGGATTTATACATATAATACTTTGTTAGAAATATCATAAAGTAGCTTGTTGAAAAATATATACATCACTAGTAACTAACTAGGTAAATATAAATTTTAGCGCAGTTCAGTTTCACTGTCAGTGTCACTGTCGTAATCCAAGTTTACAATACTCACGTAGCTTTGCAATAGATCTACACTTACATAGGCTACGCATTATTCCCAGATTTTGTTCGGATTATTCTGCATCTCCGTCTGGATTATATCTACTATAGAATTCAAGGTTGGCGAAACATTGTTCCTTCTTATCTACGCTTTGAGATTATTCCATATATGTGTCACAGTGTCACAGTAATACTGTTTTTTTATTTAAAATGATTATAATATGTCAAGAGATTGCTTTTTGACATGTTATGTCTTTTTCCATCATATAATTTTGAATGGTATTCAATATAAGGGGTGTTTTTTTTCGATGTATAGAACTTTAAGTTGCAATAAAACAACGATGGATTATTGGATTGACATAAATTTTATTTACCCGAAAGATAATCTTGTGGCATTACATTTTAAATATGATTTCTGGCATATGACCGCCACGACTGGCGCGGATGTAGTCCAATCTGGACGTCCAATTTTCGATGACTTTTTCCAACATTTGTGGCCGTATATCGGCAATAACACGACGAATGTTGTCGTCCAAATGGTCAAGCGTTTGTGGCTTATCCGCATAGACCAATGACTTTACATAGCCCCACAGAAAGTAGACTAGCGGGGTTAAATCACAAGATCTTGGAGGCAAATTCACAGGTCCAAAGCGTGAAATTAGGCGGTCACCAAACGTGTCTATCAATAAATCGATTGTGGCACGAGCTGTGTGACATGTTGCGAAGTCTTATTGAAACCACATCTCCTGGATATCATGGTTATTCAATTCAGGAATGAAAGAGTTAGTAATCATAGCTCTATACCGATCACCATTGACTGTAACGTTCTGACCATCATCGTTTTTGCAGAAGTACGGACCAATGATTCCACCAGCCAATAAAGCGCACCAAACAGTCAGTTTTTCTGAATGTAACGGTGTTTCGACATACACTTGAGGATTAGCTTCGCTCCAAATGCGGCAGTTTTGTTTGTTGACGTAGCCATTCAACCAGAAGTGCGCTTCATCGCTAAACAAAATTCGCTTATGAAAATCGGGAACAACGGCAATCTGGTTTTGGGCCCATTCGACGAATCTACGTCTAACTTGATGATCGTTTGGCTTCAATTCTTGCACGAGTTGGATTTTGTAAGCACGTAAACCAAGATCCTTCCTCAAAATCTTCCATAAAGTGGATGGACACAGATCCAATTCCTGTGCTCTATGGCGGATGGACTCATTCGGGTCTTCCTCAATGCTACGCTCTACAGCAGCAATAGCTTCTTCTGTACGCATCGTACGGCGTCTCTGGGGATGCGAGTTATCAATAAGAGTAAACATGGTTAATCGAATTAACTACTCTGATGGACGATTTTGTCGACGATAAAATGTTGTTCAGGCGTGAGTCTATTCATGATGAATTGCCAAACCAAACTGAGAATAAATCATCTGACAGCTGTTAAATCGGTCGCCATCTTGAACAGTAATGCCAGTTTAAAGCTCTATACATCGAAAAAAAAACACCCGCTCCTACTATAATACCGCACATTGTACACTGTCCATGGTAGCCAACAAGTTAGTTATATTTTCTGTCGGTAAGGCAAAAACGTTTAGTCTGCATCCTGTTCTTGTCCTAGTGTGAATTATTGTTATGCGCTTTCTTTTATTTAACGAAACGTTAGTTGTGCATTGACATATGTCTATGTCACACCGTGTCTCGGTTCGAAAAACAATTTCCCTTCCATCTTACCTATGTCCGTAAATTGAAATCAAATATTTCCATTCTCCACTTCTTTAATCGGCTATGCTTAATTAGTACATTCAGTACAAACACTAGATGCCCACTACAAATGCGCATTGTGCCAGTGTTGCAGTTGCGTGGTGACTGATGTCTATATCTTACTTAGCATGCAAATATTTTTCTATAAATTGCTTATTTTCCTTTTATATTTTAGATTTCAATGAAGTTCTGTATGTTCCATTTTTTTGTCATGCTTTTTTTTACTCCTTAATAATCCACATATTTTGAACTCACTAAATGGTACCAAAAAAGTGAAAGTTCATGCTTCATAAAAAAATCTGTGTAACCGCAATTGTAAAATATAGCTCGAAGATACGTTTTCGTGATTATAAGTTACGTTACAATGGATCTAACGAGTCTTTAGACGTCTATTAATGGACATACACGATGAATAAATGATCCGCTCTGCGAGAAAAGCAAGAAACTCGAGGCGGCCGTCGCTCTCAAGGGTTTAAATAAGCAAACGTATCCCGGAATCGGAGAATAAATTTTTAATTGACGCGTTGGCAGCAACGATCGGTTTGCGTGATTGCGGAGCTTAATCTGCCGCGCCTTGCCATCGTCAAACATTCATGCCGACAAATCTCCTGGAAGTACTCTATTACGGTGTCAGAATCAACTTGTTGCGGTTTAACCCATTACGTATGGCTTGAGCCGGCCCTTTCTCGCCAAGAGGGATGAAAATGTTACGTAACTTGCGAGTTCTTACCACGAACTTTCAAAGTAATATCAGATTTTGTTTTTTAAATATCACACTCAATAATTAACAAATAATATCTCTTATATGCGAGCCCTAACAACTATGTGTTGGAACAAGCAGTTACTTTGGGAATAAAATGCCAGTTTTCCGAAATGCAAATTTCACTTGTCTTTTTTTTAATGCGAATGTGAAGTTAACAAAATATTTTATCATAAATGGAATTATTTTTACACTTTCATTACATATTTTATGTTACTATTTAATTAATATTGGAAAAGTGGTTTTTAATTAACAGCCCGAATTCTATTAGACATTGTACCAACCAGAAATTTACATAATTCAGGACTGAAACTGTCCTATATGTCTTGCAATTCGCCAAGTAGTTGTGCTAAAGTGTTGTCCTGCTGAAAGATAAAACCTCCAAATGGCCATAACTTTATTACACTTGGTAAAAACGGATATGTAAGGACATCTTGATAGTTGGCTGCGTTTGCTGTGCCTTAAATAAAGTGTAAAGTTCTCTAGCCTTTGGCCGACGTACAACCCCATCATGCGCTGCGGAAACTTTACAGTCCTTTTAAGTTAATCCTGTTGGAATGTTTTTGTGTTTCCTCGAATCAAACGCGGTCCGTAATCTCTCACACAAACATCGACTCTGCTTTGGTCGTTATAGATTAGTTTGGTCCACGGAAGTTTTGATTTAATCCAAATGTAACGATTCGTTTTCGAGTTTCCATCAACTCGTATAAGTCGAAAAATAGAAAAATTATACCGCACAGAAGTACCTAATTATATACATTATATACATTATAAAAACTAAGACCGCTTTTGCGGATATATTTGCGACAGCATTCTCTGAAAACATTCACCTCACCACGGTGAAGTTGCTTGTCGTAGTACATATTTTCACTAAATGCCTTTCACTCGTTCGACAAACAGCCTTTATACGGCCTGAGCTTTAACCGCGACCATATTCCTTAATTATGCCAAACAGAGTAGTTGTTGCTACA